CCTCATAACCTTTGAGTGTGTTCGGTTGCATGTGTAATGAAGGTAAAATAGGGAGAATTCTTGGTTGAGGACTCATCGGGAATAAACGCAAAACGAATGCTTGAAAGTGACGAAATTCATTAGGGAATACACAGAGAACCCAGCGCATAACAGAAAGCTCGCGCGTGAGGAAACCTACATAAAGTGTATGGGCGTTTCCAGGCTTCAACGCTAGCAAGCGAAATTACATACCTATGAGGTCATTCTTAGCAAATGGATGATTGGCAGTATTTCGACACCGTATCCAGGCACAGCAAAGACTACAGAGAAATATGCTGTAATGCCCTCTCCCCTCCCCCCGTCCAACAAATGCATAATCAAGCAAAGCCCACCAATGTGATTGTTGGAAATTTATTTAATATTTCATTGAAAAAGAAAATTACACTGCTTTTCAAGCCTTGCTAGAGTTCTTAAATAATCTTTCAGTAAACAGATTTTGAATATAGAGCAACTCAAATTCATGCATTACAAAACTTGGTCAGATTTTACGTACTGAAGTATGTTCTACAGCCACGGAAGGAAGTGAGCACTGTCAAGCAAACGAGAACTGGGTCGTAACGGAATTCAACTTTAGGTCAAAAAAATTCGCTTCAACTTGAAAGAATGCGCCTTAATTTTTGTCAAGTGTTTTCGTATTGTTACCTGTTTCTATCCTCACCACCAGTAATCATCTTCACTTCAAAACTTTGGCTCCTGTCAAGCTGATTTTCTGCTTAAAAAATAGATGACAGTGCCCCTTTCAAAATAATATGGCTGAAACTAGCGCACACCACACGCGTAAACAACACGCGCGCGCTATACGCACGCAGCACCCAACGCCTCTTCAAACGGATAGAATAACCCTCTTCACTGTAACCTTCACAGAACTGTTATCTGTCTACATAGCAGACACCACAACACCATGAAAGAACAATCGTACCCGGTTTCCTTTGGCAAAAATGTGCAATGCGACCATTCACAAAAATTTACCGAAACTGCAAATTTAATTAGAACTATACTTATTTTACAATCGTCAGGTGAAATTAAACCGGGGTAGTTACAGGCGAAAAACACACCAGAAGAAAATATTGTCTCATTGCCGCCGCTTACCCAACTGTCACGTGATCGTCCATGAAAGATACTGCTCAAAGTTTGCCTTTTCTTTCATTAAATCCCTTTTTTGCTTTTCTATATATGATTGCTTTAGCAAAGAGCAGAAAATTTTTCGAATATCACATTTCGACTATCCCTGGTTTGTCCTCATTTAACGTTTGTTAAATTGAATAACATGCCAAATTTACATTTAGTCTTGCTATTTCAATGATTCTGGAAGAGGTAAAAATTAACTTTTTTAGTTTGCAACTGTCTGTTTGCACATTCGACCTCTAAAATCACCGATTTATAAACAATGAGTGTTAATAAATTCTCTTTCAACATTGATTCTAACTCATGCGTTGTCCAAAGAGAAAACGGAAACACTTTGTGGTTTTCAAACTATTCGATAAATTCTTCCCATATACGTTTCCTTTTCCAAGCTGTCAAACGTATTCTTGTTCGTTATTTGTCATTTCCACCAAAGATATTTTCAACCTAAAAAAAATACCATCGTTTCAGCCCGAAAAAAAAAAAAATCAAGAAAGAATTTTTCTTTGCCTTTTCGTGGATAATTACAGCTGTCCGGCTCTGTTCTAAAGAACTCTTAGGCTAACAAGAATTCAAAAGATAATTCTTACAAGAAATATATAGTTTCCTACCCTGTATGACTCTGGCTAATAGTTTTCATGCGATCTAGATTTTGATTGGCTGTTAGCCTACCAATAATATATTAAAATTCTAACATGGCGCGGAGGCTTATGAAAATACATAGAGTTTGAGGGATGAATCATGAATTCTCTTGTTCTAACTCCCTCAAACCTCGGCGTCATATTAGAAATTTAACATGCGCTATTCAAGATTGCCATGAGCAGTTTGCCTGAATAAACATTGCCACATCCCTATCGATACTTTTTTACATGTGTATGATAACTGAATTCGGTTTTTGCCTTATAATGTGGTTCAATACTCATCCAATAATTGATTACTTTCTACTGACAGCTAGAGTGATTTTGATCAAAATTTCAATAATGAATAACGTTATTACTTTAGAATACAATTGCAACTGATTCATGCACAAGCTACATTAAATGACTGGTGCGCCTCCGCCGTTCACTGGCCCTACATTTTAACAATTCTTGCAGTTCTCTTTCGCAGTCGTATCTGATGTCGTAACGAAACGAAACGCTGTGTGACGCAATGTTGAACCGTTGCGTGACGTCACTAAATGAAGTGCTGCATGACGTTCCTTAGACGGCTGCGAAAGAGCTGTTGCTGTAGAAACTCCATTACTGTCAATAACTAAAAAAACGTCACGCAACAGGCATCCACAATCTGATTGCGGGACCCGTTAAAAGGAGACATTTCCAAAACCAAGGTTTCAAAGTTTGAAAGAAAAAAGTGTTTGTACAGGTGAATCATAAACCAAACATTTCGTCATCAGCTTGGTTTTCCATCTGCATCTGTCTCTGTCTTGGCCGGCTGGCTCCTGACTTTACACTACCGGTCCGCTGACCGCCTGCTGCTGCACGATCCGCAAGGAACTGGTCGAACTCTGAAATGAAAGCAAAGGAAAGTTTCAAACTACAAATGTTCCTTTTAATGACAGCATGTACAGGCATGTGCAGTACGGGTTCGTGGCCCCAAGGAAAAGTAAACAGTACCTGGATAACTGTGTATATGATGTACTCAATAACACGGCGATGTGTGGCGAAAGATAAAAAGTGACAAGTCATGTTCTCGTGGTAAGCCCAAAAAACGTGGACTCGGCGAATTTAATAGCTAATTCCCACGGTAGTTGTACTCATCATCTTGGACTGGATACTTGTTTTGACCAATACAACAACTAGAATTTCTTGCAGGGGGGTCTAATAGAGGGAGTTGGCCACCGCTGCTATAGTCGGTAGACCGCCGCTTTATATTCGAAAGAAAGAAATCCTGGGAGCGAGAAGCGCTTCTCGCTTTCGCGCGGCTTTCTTTCACGTCACTCACGACGGACTAAGTGAAAGAGGGACTACTCGTAGTCTACATTACCCTGTGAGAGCTCAAGAATTTTTGTCCACTTGTCTGCCGCAATCATCAACACTGAAATTAGTCTATGTATCATATCAACACAATAATTTTTTCATCGTTCTCGATAAGATTTGTAGTAATCAGGACAACAAAGAAAGTAATCAACCAGTGTCGTAACCGAGCCCGTGACCAAAATGACCCAACCAGAAGGCCGTATTTTCACACGCCATTCTAGCGCCATCTTACCGGTCCTTTTTGGTCACTAGTGCTCAAAGGTGCCTCTTTTGTCGGGTACTTTCTTTATAGTTCCTCTTTACTACTACGATTCACAAACCTGAAGAAGTTAGTGTGTCTCCATTTGCGGCCTGCTGGGCAGCAGCGGCTTCTGCATTGGCCTGTTNATTGTGCGATCAAATGGCTGCAGATTATCAGTGTACGAAGATCCACTGGAAAACATATGAAACAAAAATAAAATATCAGGCAACAGTTCTAGATAACAAGTACCTTCTCATACATGAAAGTTTGCCTGTACAGTGAGATGGTGTTTCTCCATTTTCTCTTAAGATTATAGAGAATGCTACCGATGGAATTAAAAATTATTTTCAGAATTCTGATCTCCTTTTAATTCTTCAGATGATACATAGATGCTACATTGCCCGGGAAAAGAAGGTAGGGGTAGGTTGGAGCCCTAAAGGTTTTGAAGGCTTGTCTTCTCTTTTTGCAGTCCAGACAAATATGTACATGGTCACTTAGTGGAGTCCACTGGTATTCCCTCTACCTTCCAGCCCTAATGCGAGTTCAAGATGGTAACATGATCTGTTTGACATAAAACACCTTTAAGACTTGACACTGTCAACAGTCTAAATTCAACAGTTTTGTCTACTAATGCTATTCTTTCTGTCTTGGAACACTAGGCACATACATTTTTAGCCCAAAGTAGTCCTAGCTGGCTAAAGTACGTGTCAAAATAACTCCTTTGTCAAACAGAATAAGACTCTCTCGTGTATTGAACTCACCCTTTTCTACTCTCATCAAATGTGCTTTTTCTTGACTGGGCAAACATGTCAAATTCATCATCTTGGTCAGTAGGGCTAGGTCCAACGTCTGGTTGTAAGGAATAAAACAATACATTGTGATTAATACCAATGAAAATGCTAACTTTTTGTCTCTCCGTGCACTAACAATATCCCGTTCAGCAGAGGTTGTTCTAATGTGACTACAGAATGGTAACTAATGCAAACAAACTGAAAGCCCCTAAAGGTCCATCAATAAACCTGCCACATTTGCATTTGTGGAACTTAACTTACATGTAGGATATTTCTATGCTCTAAACACTTTTTCAACTTTGCTGCTGGCATTGAAGAGACTTCCAATAAACCCCTTGAGCCCCTATGTCTAAACACACATTCCTTTTCTTGTCTCCATTCATTTTTTGTCCCATCAGTGGTTCTCAGTTGGGACCCTCAGTTGACTGTCCACAGTGGCTAATTCACGCTACGAGACGCACCTGCGGGGAATCATGGTAGTTGTGTTCATCAAAACAAATATCCAGTCTCAGATGACGAATACAACTACCATGATTCCCTGTTGGTGCACATCTCATGGAGGGAACTGGCCATTATTTACAGTCTGTCTGTCTTGGTTTTTGAACCAATCAGGAGCAAGATCTATCAGCTTCTGTGTACTTGACATGTGACATGATTTTACCATGTCTGTTCATTGCCACATTGATTATTTTGGTTCTGGTTTATTAAACCGTTAGAAAATGGTTCAGTTATGCACACCAGAGCATTACACGTACATTGATGAATACAGATAATTTATGCAACAGTTTCAAGTGGAATATTCCATGAGTCACTTGTATTTTTTCTGTATACAGACGAACCTTTACCGGTAAGTGAGTATGTATAGCAAGAAAATACAAGTGGCAAGTGGGATATTCCATGCTAGTATATACCACAGAAGTGAATAGTACTTTTCACGCACGCTGATTGGCTAGCTTGGAGGTGATTAGCCAAGTGCTATTCACCTTCAAGCATCGCACGGCATGCAAATTTTTTTGTCTGACCATTTTTTGGTATATTGTCACAAATAAAGTTACTCTTTGGTTTGGTAGTTATTCAGTTTGTGTGGTACAAACTAAAACAATTATTCCCCTCAGTGTTGGTGAAAGTGGTGGATATTTACCTCCACTTCAGTGAATAATTGTTAACTATACCTCTCAAAAGCATTGCATAACTATTTCATGACATGCCATTGAAAATACAGTGACCAACACAATCAGTGGGACATCTAGGGTATTACTTACTCATAGCTTGCATCTGAGAGGTCATGGCATTGACTGAGGGAGCCTGGGAAGGAGTAACCTGGTCATCGTCAAAACTGATTAATGAATCTCCAGTACTGAGGAACAAAACAAGGCAAGCATGAAGTGCATTGTCAATTATGTGTCAGTGGGTAGTCACATCACGGTCCCAACCATATACAAACACTAACTGAAATTTGTAACTTAAGTCAAATAAAATTACAAACTAACAAGAGCTGTTACCTGTCCACTCATAACAACACCCTTCTACTTAGTGGGTACTGATTCATGGTCCTTGCCTCAGTCAAACAATGCATTTGTAAGCTCCCATATCTGGCATCTTAACCTCACTGAACATTGCTGTTGCGACACACACACTGCACTAGCACACAGTTCTCCTAAGTGGAAACCCAAACACACAGCTATCTACTCTCCATATCTCTCATTGCCACAGCCCTCTGGGTTGCCAGACGCAGACCTGCCTCATCAAAAATATATGTATGTATGTATGTATGTATGGCACATAAGGCTTTGATCATTCTCCTTCTATACACTTTGATTTGTTGCTATGTACAGCTCTGACAGTCACTCATGACTGCCACCCAGCTGCTTGCCTTTTGTCCTCAAACATTCACCTCAACACTTCATAGCTGATAAATTAACAGTGCCAAGGCTTTAAGGGAGTCTGATTCTAATGGGTTTGACTTTATAAAATGTTGTAACAAGGACGTACCCGGCGGGTGGTGCTGGAGCTGGAGCTGGTGCTGGTGCTGGTGGCACTGGCTGAGCTATGTCCACTGTACCTGGAGTCTAAATAAACAGATACACTGAAATTGTTACAAATGTGTCTCAGCTGTAATACCTCTTTGCAACATAACGATACCTGTGAGATCGGCCACTGTACTCAATTCTGCCGATCAACTGCACCCTTAACTTCATATTAATATCTTAGCCGACATTGAGCAAAGACTCAGAAGAGAGTCATGACTGAAAGCCTGGAACTAGTGGATTTTGGGAATGGGTTAGTGGAATCTGTCCTAATTGCTTGCCTGATGGCCAATTAACTTTTTGTGGGAAACTGAAATTACCTTTGGACCAAATTCAAAATACAGAGATGCTGTTTAGTAGGACATTAAATTAAATTATTATTACAAACATTAATTTGCTTTTAAATCAATTAATCACACATTCAACTATGTAACTTTTGAAGGGCTGATGAGAATTACGTTTGTGCTAGTACGTCCAAATTACAGTTTGCTGTGATGGCAAGATTCACTCACTATCTGATCGGTACATTGAAATTGTGATCCATTATCAAGTACTGCGTGGGAGATTGCATCACGAAAGACACTTTACTCTCAGAGTGCCTCTCTTCAAAAATGAGTTCTGATGGATGTTAGGACAACCCACCAAAATGCTGGGGATAGCCTTCCCCCCCCAGGAGGAGAAAATATACTCAAGATAAGATCGTATGAAGACTTTAATCATTTGGGCTAAATTAAGGGTGCTGGCAGTTCAGCCACAACTGAAATTCCAGTTCACTTCTGTACATGTAACTGTTGCACTACAAAACAATTCTGTCACCTGAGAGGTAACCTGATCTGCTGCTGCATGAGGGGCTGGCAGATCACTGTCACTCAGCAGATGATACTGTTTTGGTGTTACCTAGTGACACAATAAAGTGTCACACAACAACTGGATGCAATGATGTTGCATAAAACTAAGATTTATGTATCAACGTGTCACAGAACTTAATGAAGGTGTGGTGATCAAATAGAGTTAACAAATTTGGATTTATGAGACTTCAAGCCTAAAAATTACATTATCATTTGTATCTTGTGTCCATAATTCATTATTATTTTCTTTGTTTTACAGTTGAACCCTCGCTTTTTTGAACTCTCAGGGGAAACAAAAAGAAGTTTGAAATAGCTGATACTGTAGTAAATTACTATGGCTGAAGAGCAAATCCAAGGGAAATGGTTTTGAGTACAAAATAACAGGGAATTTGAAATAACTGATTTTGAACTAGCCGGGTCAAACTATGTTTTGAATAAATAAATGAACTCCAACTTATTAAATCACTCGAATAGCCTAGGTGGAGTGAATAATGAACTGAAATACAGAGAGCTCTTTATTACTGGGAGTCATAATCTTAACATGAATTTCTCACCCTTGCTGCATTTTCTGGCCAGGCTGTTGTCATCCTTCCAGTTTCTGTTGGTAATGGCTCCACAGCAGCAGGTCGTGGGGGTTCTGGCGGAGCTTCTGATGGTTCACTTTGCTGAGTTGTCACTTGCCTGAATCTCTCATAGCGGTCATAACGAATGAACACATTATTAAGATCATCATTAACACTTAAAAGCAAACCTGAAGAAAAAAGAAGAGAAATGTTACATGTTTGAATGAGCTGTTTTCCATTAAAAGTGCTGTTAATGTCAAGATTCTGTTGAATGCCACATACACCTGTACTTGTGTTTGAAGTATACTCATGTTGTCTGGCACATCAATTGACAAAGTGCACAATAATTGTTTTCTTTAGTTTGTATGTCTGCTCATGGAATACAAAGTTGGACAAAGGCTGAAGGTTAATTTTTTCATAATAAGCCAGACTGTTGGTCTTAGACCATAGTTCTGTTACTGGTTTCTTCTCTCCTCAATCATTCAATCCTATCAAGTTTAAAACAAAGGGAATAATACCTACAGGTGACAGTGTTTGGATATCTAATCTTAATTAGCATATCAGATCAGTACCATTTTATTTCTCTGTTTTCTCCTTTAGCTCTTATTATTAAACACTTGAGACAGTGTTTTATCATGTTTCTTTACAATTCAAAATTAGTTTAAAATACAGCACTATGCATGATAATTCCAACTTTCTCGTTCTTGGCATTTGGAAATGTGGTAAGACACAGTCCAAAGTGTTTGACAAACTATACTGATTTACTAAACAACATTTTCATTATGAACTGAATCACTTTTCTCAATCATTTAGTGAAAACCAAACCTGGTAGGGTATTAGAAGGTTTCAAACTTTTGACTCTGGTGGCTATGGATTGCTATCAGTGTCCTGAAGATTAAATCACACACATGTAACTAACCTACAACTTCTTCGTTTGCTACCCTTTCAATCAGCTCTAAAACCCGCTGCTGCATGGCGCGACATGTTCTGTTCAATTCCTACAAAAAGAAGTGGTTATATGTAGTGGTTAGTTTGTAGGCAATCTTTGAATAAGACATGATCAGACAACTGTCATTAAAAGTTTTGAGTTACCTGTTGCCTTGATCTCCACACCCTTAACAAACTTGTTACTTTGTGGGTGAATTGTATCAACGAAAGACAATTTCACCTGTAACATTAAAGGCCCATCAAGCATGCTCAGCCATTTACAGGTGTTACAGATTATGGCCCTTAAAGAAAGGCCTGGATCATATGTGTAAATAAGAGGTGATTCCCTTAGAGAAGCTCAAACAAGCTTGTAGAGATCTCAGGTGACTAAGATACTGAGAGCAAGTGACTGACCGACTGACTGCCTGGCTGACTGCCTGGCTGACTGACTGGCTGACTGGCTGACTGACTGGCTGACTGACTGACTGACTGACTGACTGACTGACTGACTGACTGACTGACTGGCTGGCTGACTGACTTACTGGCTGGATGAATGAGTGATTGATTGGCTGTCTGTTTGACTGACTGACTGCCTGTTTTACTGAATGACTACCTGTCTACCTGCCTACCTACCTGCCTGTCTGTCCGACTAACTGCCAAACGGACTGACTACCTGATTGAAAACCTGACTGACTGACTTTCTGCCTATCTGTTGGACTAGCTGATTGACTGAGTGAGTGATTGCTTGCTTGATTGAAATGATTCTGAATGAATTCAACACAACTAATCACTCCTCGCTTTATTCTACAATGTTCTAAATATGTGACGTTGCTCTGTTCTACAATAAAGTGACCTAAAGCCTCTCACTGTGTATAATCTGAGAAAATGGCAAGCTGAGCAGGCTCAAAGTAATTCTGTTTCACTCCTTAGAGACAACAAAACAATCAGAATGTGTGTGTACATAAATCTTCCATAGGGAGGTTTTTTAATTTGAGCCTACCCCCTACCCCTCCAAATCCACGAAATTTCAGTTATGAGCATCACACTTCCCTTACAAAACTCTACCTTCTGCAACCCCCTGACCCACTGGAATTTCCATTGACAATCTTGACGTTGGTGCTAAATGTTCATTGGAACGGTACATTAAAGAAAAAGGACACTCCAATTTTACCTGTAATAGCTGCAAATCTCCTGCTTCCTCTTGACCAGGTGTCATTTCTGTCAACATTTCAGACATGACAGTGATGTTTCCATGTACAATGTCAAGCTCAGATCGTATTTTTCCAAGCTGTTCAGGTGTAGGTACCACAGGGCCACTGGGTGCCTGCACTGCAGGGACAGGTTGGACGCCCTGTGGATGAACCACTGGAGTCTGCAAAGAAAGAACTGATTGTTATCATACAGGCAGATTTCTGGCAATGGTTTAAGTAGAGGGTGTTCTGAGAGCATGCCTGTGCTTTTCACAAAGGTAAAGGTACATGTGAAGTCTACATACAAGCCAAGTGTTCCATCAGGCTGGGACTTATCACGGTTTCTGTAGCATAAAGAGACTGGGAATATTTCCACTCCTCACTGGATGAGATGTTAGTCCATAACAGGGTTACCCCCAGCATTAAATTTCCCGGTACCTTTTTATACACCTGGGTGAAGAGAGGCACTGTGAGAGTAAAGTGTCTTGCCTAAGAATACGACACAATGTCACTGGCCAGGGCTCGAACCTGGGCCACTCAATCCAGAGTCGAGTGCACTAATCATGAGGACACCATTCCTTCTATTAAAGGAACATTAAATTCACCTCACCTGAGATGGAGGTGGCCTGGATGGTGCTGTGGCTGTTGGTGGTCTCTCTGGTTGTGTCTGATGCAAGATAAAAACAATTCTTAGAATTAAAAGTAAGTTAAGAAAGACAACCAACCACACCTGTCTTGAAATGAAATGATCTCCAAAATATTCATAATAATTATTATAAAATAAGTGACTTGTGATACGTTTTACATGTAAGTTATAGACTACGGATTGCAAAATGGTTTAAAACAGATCAATCCCTATTATTTTAATTAGTTCTAATGCAAAATAAACATGTGACAATTGACCAATTGTTTACAGCTGACCTAACCATGTGAAAAGACATTTGAAAAGGACTTGACACTCGAGCTAATAAAGTTGCCTCAGGATAAAATTAAAAAAGCTAAAATTTTCTATCTTTATTTGTGAAATTACCCTTCTTACCCTTTGTGGTGTGTAGATTGGAGACAGTGTATCTAAGTTTTTGGCAGGAAATTCCACACCTAGAGTCCAACAAAAAGTATTGCAATAATTAATATTTTAATATATTATAAACAATTAATAAGTACTTCAGAAAACTACCTAAGTTCTTGCTTTAGGATTTATTTCATTTCTTCCTTACGGTGTTCTCAAGACATTATTATAATTAAGCAATAGGCCACAAGTTTTTATGGTTTATAGGTTGATAAACCACTGGAGATGTTAGAAGACCACGAGAAGAATTCATACATCACGAGCCACAGGTGAGTGATTTATGAATTCTTCGCGTGTTCTTCCAACATCCCAAGTGGTTTATCATGCCACTAAAACATAGAAACTTGTGGTCTATTGCTTTTATATAATAATTCAGAAGACACGCAAAATTTCCATGAGTTTACTGGCACAATAAACCATAACTGATTGACCAATCAGAGCGTGCGCTTTCATTTGATTATTATATAATTACCTTCTCAATAATCTATAAATAATTGCATCGTTACAGAGGAGTAACATTGGTTCAAAATCTTGCCTTAGCTAGTGTGCTCATCAAATTCAAAGCAGTATACCAAAGGGATACTATTGGTAGTAGCTTGGCCTTGGAATGGCCATGGTCTTCATGCTACAGCTGTAAGACATAAGTCTTTCTAAGAACTACACCGAATAGAGCAAAAACTTTCAAACCTTGTGCTCTGAGAGATTCATAAGTCTCCAGCACATAAGATAGTTCAGGTGACCCACGGAACGCATCAGCCCAGTCTTGAATCAGAGATAGAATTTTATCCTGAACAACTTGTGGAGGGTTACTCTGAAGACAAATGAAAAGACATAAAACACACAGCACGTAACTGACCACAAAGAAAGTAAAACTACAATATCAAACCACCATAAGCAGACACCCTTGTGGTCATGACCAACTGCCAAGGGAACAAGTTCAGCAACATGAAATGCCCTTTTAAGATGTACAATTACCTGTAACATCATATAAATAAAACAAAAGTATTTCCTTGCCACAATGAAATACTGTACATGTACCACAAAGGGGTCCCTAAAAGGTTCCATGAAATTCTAAAAATCTAGATAACCTCAAAAATTTTTATACATCTGTTATGGCAACAATTCAGCACTAGAACAATAACTGTTCAAGTGTTGCATAGTTAGATGAATGAAGACATGTGTTCACTGCCCCCAAGTGTTTATTGCTACCGATGACATTAAACATTTTGTCACAAAACAACCTACCTTTGGATTTAACACTTTCACAAGTTCATCTAGCAATTCCTTCTTGGCAAGAAGTACGTGGAATCTATGGCCACAATTTTTCACACAAGTCTCAAGCACCTACCAAAATAGGATTAAAATATGGTTACAGTTTTGGGCACTTTCTCTGCAAATGCTTAATCTCCTTCTTGTACCTTGACATTAAATAATCTCCCAGCAGTTTCCAGGAGACAAGGAACATTGCCTTGTCTATGCAACACCATGTAGACTCTACTTAACAAATTGAGGTCAGTTTTTTATGCGTGTCCTCTTATTGATGATAAATTCCATCATAACATTGTCAAAGTGGCTGTGGAACCACGAGCTGCAGGCAAGTGGTTCCACAGTAAACTTTGACAATGTTATAAAGAAATTTATCATCAATAAGAGGACAGATGCATAAAAAACTGACCTCAATTTGTTTTTTATAATAACAAGACCCCAAAATGGTCAAATGCTGGGTATAAATGAGGGGAAAAGACGCCGTAAACTTGCCATAAACAAAGATAAGGGAATTTTATTCAAAATGACGCGAACATTGTCAATAGCTTTTCTCGCTTTTTGATTGGCTGCTTAAAAAAAGTCCATAAAATCTCATTGCTTAAAACTTGACAGTTTGATAGCTGAAAGTTGAACTTGAAAGCTTGCATAAATTAAAATTTTATCTGTCTGTTCTCTTATTGATGATAAAAATAAGCCAATCAGCGTACGAGAAATTAGATAGTTATTGTACAAATGTAAATGACATTCCTAACAATATACTTAGAGAGGGAGCCAAATCAACCCTGGCTGGTTTTGAACTGGAACTTTGAAATTTTGAAATTATATTGTTTTTCCAGAGGGGAGGATGATATAAACCTTTGCAACAAAGCAATTTGCCATCAGCAAACCCAACCCTCCTCATGGTACCAGGCCCGTATTGAACATGGATCACATTGGTGGAAGGCGTGTTCTCAATACTGCACCCGTCAAGCTCCCCAGGATACCAGCCCAATGAAATCTGTAGAACAATGTAGAACACAGTTCCATAACCTCTGGTAAAAGGGCAATTGCATAATTGTCAATGTAGAGGACAAAAAGATGGATCAGGTTCCAGGCTCAAGCCTAAACAGGGTTGAAGGTTGGGTTCACTTCTCTATATATGGTACACTGTCACCCCTTTCCACCCAGGTCCTGGCTGTTCAATGGTTATATAAATACTAAAACATGGAAATATTGAAATTTTACACTGACTGTGGGAAGATTGAATCACTTTTCTCTGTATGCTACAGAAATGCTTTTCTTTTCAAATGAAGGACAAGTAAATCAAGTGACAGTCTCAATAATGTGCCATGACAATTTGTGCCAGGTTTAGATTTTCATTCTCCGTCAGGGAAGTAATAATTTAAGAGACTTACGTGATTCCACTTAAAAAGAAAGAGTATTAAAAAATTTCTCAAACTTTATCCAGTTGGTAATCAGTTTATGTATATTAGAAAAATGCAAATAAAAAATAGGGGTCACCGTGCTCATTTTTGACAACATGGANGCAGAGGTGTTGGAAGGCGACAATCTCAGGGGCGGGGCATTTACCCTCTTTCTTCGTCCCCACCCCAGGGTATTTAGACAGCTTGTGTGTCCCCACCCCGGGGAATTTGCCCATTGTTTTTAAAAAAATGCTAATGCATGGGGGTTAGCCCGGGAGGGGGGGAATGGGCACTGCTGGAATTGACTGATGCATTATGTCACTAAATTCGTATGAAAAAGATACATGTGGTATGAAAAAAGACTAAGAACTCTCAAGGGCAAAGACAAAACTAATAAATTAAGTTATTTCTAGGACAGTAAATTTTAACGCACGTATGAACAACTGTCCAGTATATTTCGGGAAGGACCTACCGTCAAAGTCAACAGAACACTCTTGAAGTTCTTATTTCCTGATAATCTCTTCCTTATAGCTTTGGCAGCATCTTTTGGCCTGTAGAAGAATTAAACTGTTACATACCAAGATGCAAAAAAGTGATACTTGTCATACATTATTAATGATTTCGCGTGTCTGCATGGAGCCAACTTCTGGAACATTGCAGTAAGCTTATGAAAATATGTAGCAAATTTAAGCAGGGAAATCAGACGGCAGAAATGAGTTTTCTTTACAATGAACTCACCCTTCTTCCGTTTCATTGATAACGTCGCAAATTTCAATATTCGCCGCCCAATCTTCAGATGGAAGGTTTCCATCGGTGGCTTTCTCTGAAATTACGACAGATAGAGATTCACCTATCGATCGCACACTGAATTGAGAGAAAGCATGATCCAAGCGTTCTCTACAACTTCACTATATTCAGTTTGTAAGGATGCAAATTTCCCCTACTAATACAGAAAGGGTAGGAACTTTCAAAAGTACACAGAAATAGCAAATTCTAGCCTTAAAAATACCTATTCTCTGCCCTACTGGTGTTGAGAAAGCGTTCGCTCCAAACAGGGAAGCCATCTTGGAATCTCTTTGACAATGACGTCATTTCCTTTAAATAGTAAGCCTCGTTTGGCTTTAAGACGAGTAGCACTGGGGATGAGAATGCGCCTTCCCAGGATCTCGCGTCGAAATTTGGCGCCTCTCGCTTGTCCCAGTAGCACCAAAATGGCGGATGAAATGAGGTAATATTTAGTCTTAGCTGTAATTTCTCTTACGCAAGTACTGTGGATTTCCTTTAATACTGCGCCCTTTGTTATTTGGATCTGAGGTTTCTCCTTGTGTTGTTGGTGTACGTTTAAATCATCATGTTTGACATTTTATTAGTGGTAGAACTCTATTAACGCCGATAACAACTGGACTGGCCGGGCCCGCAGCTGTCATGTCAACTTCAAAAATTCAATCTTGGTGTTAGTCAAGATATTATGATTATTCGATAATTATATCAAACGTTCAGTATTATCTGCATCCTACATAAAGCTTTCGTCCTTTTTCCTAAATAATCGTAACTGTACAATTCAATCTGTACTTTGAACTGTACGTGGCAATTTGATATTTTAAGAATCGTTAAACAATATCAATCATAACGTAACGAAGATTAGTTATGTAAACATGCAAACAAATAATAAACACAGACCTAATCGCGAACAAAGTTGCTTACCAGCCGAAAATTTATGTCGCTGTTGATTTCACCGTTTAAACGGATCAAAGCAAGGCGTAAGATTATGATTATAGCTGGGGTAATATTAATTGTATTTCTTTACTTCAAAATATATTGTTATGTTGCATTGCTGTCATAAAAGTGATAACGTTAAACAGCTAGTTTCTCTGTACAGAATCAATTATTTTCCTAGTGAACACTAAAAGAAAATGCATCTTTGGGGAGATAACTGTCTTGATTTCCCCTCCATTTACAAAAGTACTCTTGATTGTAACCTTTAGTGCAAGGTCATGTAGTAATTGGTTGGTTAAGTAGCTTAAGAACCTGTTTTACCAGTAAAGTGTAAATCTAAATTCTTATATCTTTTCTAGTGAGGACGTCCCAGAAGGAGATTGCGTCATCATCCATGAAATTTATGATTCTGAAGATGCACGTGAACAGTTTGAAGCAGATTTGGAACGAGCACTGGAATCTCAGTGCAGCATGATCGTTATTGAACCAACTATGATTGGAGAGGAGACTGCACGCTGGATTCAAGTAGGAAATTGTTTGCACAAGACTGCTGTTATTGCTGGACTTAGTTGTTTTGGGAGTTCTTGGATGCTGCCCAAATCCTTCCACGGGCCTGTCAGCTTGGTGTGTGGTGGAGTAAGCATTTTCTGTGCCGCACTGTATGGCGTATCATGGCAGTTTGATCCTTGCTGCCAGTATCAAGTTGAATATGACACTAGAAAGTTAGCAAAGTTACCTCTCGGTAGCCTGACATCGTCATCTCCAATTGTCCTTGTGAGGAAAGATGACAAATACCGCAAGAGACTTCATAACTTAGTGGCTGGCTCTGCTTTGATTTACTGCAGCTGGAAGGCTTATAACTGGTATTTTGGTTGATATTGTGTGGCATTTTGGTTGATATGGTGTTCATTTGGTATGTTCTTTTCATGACCTGGTACATGATGTTACGGGGATCAAGTCAATTTAAGTCATCAAATATTGGTGGCATTATCAATTTAGGACAATCTACAGCTTATTTATCATTTAATCTGGTGCAGAAATTGGAAATATTTTTTGGCATTTCAACCCCGATTAAAGAGTGTTGAAGCATTTAATTCCCTAGAGTGATGATTATGTTATGCACCCTGAGAATACTGTATACATTTGGTTTTACAAGCAGACAAGAATTGTTGCATTCTGGATATAGTCACGTTATTCACCACAAAAATAACA